TACTCTTCTACGTTCTCTACTTATTTTATATGTTAGTTTTAAATCACCCTTAAAATCAAAATAACAAATATAAATGTAAAGTATTGTGTCAATTATTTAACATTATTAGTTCGTTAATAAATAACACAAGACGAATGAGTTACTTTAACTTAAAATTTAGAGTGGATCTCCTGGGACATGTAAAAAATGTTAAAATTAACATTTTCTTTCTTACTGTATTTAAAAATTTTCCTAATAATAAATACAGAAGATAATTTTATTGAACCATTAAAATAATTATATGTTGAACGTTCAAACAAACAAGCAATGCTAGACAAATATTTGACATTTTAGCAACTAGCTTGAGCGTTCGGCATAATTACTTTGATCTAACAAAGTTAATTTTAGGTCTAGTTAAATTTTTGGATACTTTAGCGAAACTTTTCTTTCTGCGCACGTATCGCAAATTCAAATGATACACTTATTATACAGCACACTTTAACCGAGAGACGATCTGGAAACGTTCAGAGAACGTATGGACGTTCTCAGGACGTCCCTTAAATATCTATGCTGTAAGAATGTTCGGGAAAAAATGTTCGTGATTTTAATTGTATATCAAATTATAAATATAATTGTTATTAATATGATTGTAATAAAATAATTATAAAAATGCTCCTAATTATTATTATTTTACGCTGTACAGTCACAAAGCACTTTTCTTTCAGTGCATTACGTCCTGCAATTTCTACCGTTGTTACATAATCATTGGAGGGAGCGGCTAATCGCTTTCTCTCATCTTTAATTTCTAGTTTTTTAAATTGTCGGGTTCCTTTTCCATTGAACTAAGCTGAAAGCTATGATGCACGTTTCCGCGAAAATAATTGAAGGTCAACGACGTAGAGTAATGGGACTTTAAGCCTATTCTACAATTACCTAAGCGTAGTTGTAAGTGATTGTAGTTGTAAGAATTGACCAACCACAGTTGAATATTCTTCTTGTATTCGACAGTGATTGATCAATTCTTACGACTACAACTATTTACAACTACACTTACGCAATTGTAGAATGGGCTTTAAGCTTACTAACGCGGCCATTGCTCATACACTGTTAAAAATTTTATGAAATTAATATACTTTTAAGTTACACAATTCGAGCTTAATTTCATAATTTACATTATATTTAATATATTTATAACTGAAAAATATATTTGTATACATGTACGTGAAATTTAATGTATTTTTTACGAAAATTTATGAAATTTAATGTACTTTTTATAAAATTTTATGAAATATACATTAAATTTCATAAATTTAAAATGTGTGTGTGTGTGTACACATACATTACATTTAAGTAACTACTGTAACTTAATTTTCATTTAAATCGTTCATTACTTTTAATCTCGTTCATAACCACAAGCTTCATTTATATGTAAAGGAAGGTCGTGGTTACATTTCTAACATAGTGCACTGTTAAAAAAACAGAAATTTTCTTCCGTCACATGTAACGGAAGCAAATTTCAAGCAGGTACATTAAACGTATTTAATGTTGTCAATGAAAATAAAGTTATAAGTAACATAAATTTAACGTTTACTTACATTAAATTTCATTCAAATCTACATAAAATTTAATAAAAAAAAGTACTAAACTTCGGAAAATTTTATGAAAAGTACACTAAATTTCATGTACATGTACGCAAATATACTTTCCAGTTGCAGATACATTAAATTTAATTTAATGTCCTAAAATTGAATTTAATTTATGTAACTTAAAAGTATATTAAATTTCAGGACATTTTTAACAGTGTGTATACTTTGACAAATGACCGCGCTTATCCATGGAGAAATCACTCGTACGTACGCACGCACAGTGTCGAATTTAACGGCACGATCGAAGCGCGATGAATATTATTGATCGTTAAATTTTACGCGGGCGTGAACGCAGGTGATGTGGGATGACGTGATTGGCGAGCCGGAAGGGATCCGGAGTCCCGAATGCGCTTGGCGGCTCAGCGGCCACTGCTTCCGGCTCTCCAGAGGATGCTGCTACGTGCTCCTCTCCGTCCTCATTGCGCCTCTGCTCGCCCTGATGTTGGGCTTCACGTTCGCCTGCCTCGCGTTTCAGGTGAGTCGATAACCCACCCCCTCGCGTGCGTCCGTCCCTTTTGTTTTCCACCGCGATCGATCTCGCGAGTTTCTCGCGTGTATCACTGCACACCGCGAGCGGAATACGTTACGCTTCGCGTTGTAGCGGGATTGATCCAAGATCGAAACATAAATGATTAGAACACGTATTAATTATTTTTAATTTGAATAATATAACTTAATAATTTTAATATTAATTTGGTTATATAAAATTTTTTGTTTATGTATTGACATTGTCCTTTTTTCTTTTTCTTTTTATTTTCGTGGTTGACCTGACACATGTCTGTCTTATATTAAATGTATTAATCATGTTTCGTTCGAGCTGCGATCAACATGCGTTTTTTAATTTGATACTCTTTAGTGAATATTAATTGTAATT